AAATGGTGTGCTGTGCAACATGCTGTAACATGAGTAAGTCACCCAAATTTAAAAGTTTAAAGCCATCTTATTACTTTTTGTAATGAATAAAAGCTTACCTTTTATGGCTTTCTTGTTCTACGATATCTCTTTTCTGCAAAGTGGATTGTAAAGACTAAATGTCACATGAGAATACATCTAATAATGTCTGATAATGCTCTTATCCAAATATGGTAGAAATTCAGTAGCCTTAGTTAAAATGCCTTCTTACATAGTTTCTGAACAGTTTTTTTATATTTTTAATTTCTTCAAATTTTCTTAATAAATATGTGCTAATTTTATCATGAATAAAAATGTAATAAATTTATTTTTTAAAAAACACAGAAAATGAAGTTGATAAGTCACAAACAGAGATGACCTCACAAGTGTAGAATTGGAAGCCATCTATTTGATTTAATTCTGTGGGCACTCAGTACAATCTCTTTCCCTTAAAAGAGTATCTTTAGAGAGTATTCATTTGAATGTTGAAGGCTTCAAGGTTTCCAAATAAAATTCAAGAATCTCTCTGGTAGATAGAGGCTGGGGAAATTTCAACAGGATTATCTGACAGCTAGCTGAGAGCAAATATCTGTGAAAATAGGACAGTAGACAGACAGCAGAAATAGGGGAATAAACTGGGGCAAAAACAAGAAGGAAAGAAAAGGCCAAAGACAAATATATATAGGCTCGTGGCCAGTATAACCATATGTTTTTACCATTACTCATTTTTACCAACATGGCTTACCTGCCCAATGTTTGACTATACAGTAAAACAGATACTACTTTCCCTGAATATTGTGTATTCTAAACATTTAAGATTCAAATAAGGGCAGGAATTACTAACCCAAAAATAACTTTCAGAAACTTTTAGTAATTGATTATTCTATGAAAATATAGATCTGTTTCTAGAGTTCAAAGATTACAGAATTTTGAATTTTTATATAGTTTCCAAATAACTAAATTTATACACTGAATCAAGGGCTTATGGGCCGGCCCCATGGCTCACT